ATTGCCCCCAACAATCCGGGTCCTCATTTTACCCACCTCGGAAGGATGGAAGGCTGAGTCAACCCTGAGCCGGTGAGATTTGAACAGCCGAACTCCAGTCAGCTGAAGTAGCCTGCAGTGCTGCATTTAACCACTGCGCCACCTCAGCGCCTGTAAGGGGGCGTGCATAAGCACGCCAGCATGCCTACCATCCCTGTCCTATTGTCCCCATTTACTCGTACTCATTTCCTATGTCCATGTCCATGTTTATACTTATGCCTGTTATTTCATAAATAAATAAATAAAAATAAACAAAATAAAAAGAGCAAGATATTTTTTCCGTTTTAATAGCATAAGCTTTAGTTTCTGCATGCATGTATCAAATGGGTTTTTTTCCCCCTAAAGATTATTCTAACTCGTCCCAGTTACCGTCCGTACTTGTTTTAAGTTAAACAGTTCTCCATGGGGTTTAGCAAACATGGTGGCAAACAGCTCTGAGACAGTTTGAGATATTAATCATGCTGCCTGAATATTAAGTTAATAGATGCACTCCTTTTTCACTCAGGCTTTCCCACTGAGGGACTTGCTCCAGCTGTTTGGCAGGGAGGGGAGACTGAAGCCTTAACTCGTCTGGATAAGCATTTGGAAAGAAAGGTAACCATCCCTATCTTTGTTGCAAAATTACCTTTCAGAGAAGGTATGTTTTCTAAGCCATTGGTTGTCAACCTTTTCCCCACCATGGACCCCTTTTAAATATCTTTTGTGGTCACACACCATGGCCACAGATCCCCAAGACTCAACTCAAAATTTAAATCATAACATTTTTTCAAGCCTTGTGATGATATCATGGACCCCTGAGAACCACTGTTCTAAGTCATTTGATTTTAGAACAAGTTGCATTGCCTTATGTTTTTCAGATATAAATGTGCCATGTACTAATGAATATGCATAGAATCCCATTGCTACAATGGCTGAGAAATATTATAAGAGAAATATCGTAATCCAAAATAATATTTCTGCTTTCCTCCCCTCAAATCCTTTCTCCATAAAGTTTCTATTATAAATAATTAACTGGAGTATTAATATTATTATCTCTTTTATTCATTAAACATGAAACTCGGTCAACTGAACATTTAAAAATGTGGCACAAATACCATTGATAGGTGCTAATGGTTGACATGGGTTGCTGCCAGCATCCTAGGTATCAGCAAGTACCTTCTTAAAAAATATATAATGTTCCAAGTAGCACAGTTTTTGCTAGTATTATTGCAGGATGATGATGATGATGATGATGATGATGATGATGATGATGATGATGATGAT